GTGTTGGACGGGATGGGCCTTTGGCCTGATCCAACATTGGCATCTCTTATGTTCTTAAGTGTTTGTCCAGCCGCTGCCTAAAGACTGCCGGGTGGGGGGGGGCTCACCACAGGACCTCCTGATGGCACCTGGTATTTCTGGCCACTGCGTGACACAGAGAGTGTGTTGGACGGGATGGGCCTTTGGCCTGATCCAACATTGGCATCTCTTATGTTCTTAAGTGTTTGTCCAGCCGCTGCCTAAAGACTGCCGGGTGGGGGGGGGCTCACCACCTCCCCATGGGCAGCTTAATCCACCGCTGCACAACTCTTGACTGTCAAAAGGTTTTTCCTAGTATCCTGAAGGAGAGCAGATGTTCTCCCAATTTTCAAGAAAGGGAGGAGGGATGGCCCAGGAAACTACAGGCCAGTCAGTCTGACCTCTCTCCCAGGGAAGATACAGGAGCAGATTTTAAAGGGATCACTCTGTGAGCATCTCAAGGACCGCTTGGTGATCCAGAGAAGTCAGCACAGAATTCTACAAGATCTGAACACGCTGGGAAAGTGGGCGGATGTGAACAAGATGCAATTTAGCACGGATAAGTCCCAAATTCAACATCTGGGTAACCAAAATGAGGAACCTACATGCTGGATGTGGGATACACTTCTGAGTAGCAGTGTGTGTGTCAACAAGGTCTTGGGGTACATAAGAACATAAGAGACGCCAGTGTTGGATCAGGCCAAAGGCCCATCCAGTCCAACACTCTGTATCCCACAGTGGCCAGAAATACCAGGTGCCCTCAGGAGGTCCACCAGTGGGGCCAGGACACCAGAAGCCCTCCCACCGTTGGACCCCCCCCAAACACTAAGAAGACAGAGCATCACTTGCCCCAGAGTCCCTATCTATACTTTGTGGCTAAGAGCCACTGATGGACCTCTGCTCCATATGCTTATCTAATTCCCTCTTGAAGCTGTCCATGCTTGTAGCTGCCACCACCTCCCGTGGCAGTGAATTCCATGTGTTAATCACTCTTTGGGTGAAGAAGTCCTCCCTTTTATCCGTTCTAACCCGACTGCTCAGCAATTTCATGGAGTGCCCACGACAGGTGGACTGTAAGTTAAGTATGAGCAGCCAGTGAGATGCAGCGACAAAAAAGGCTAATGAGATCTTGGGGTGTATCAACAGAGGCGTAACTTCCACATGGAAGGATATCATCATCCTGCTATACACTGCATGGGTCAGGCTGCACCTGGAGTATTTGTGTGCAGTTTGAGAGGCCTCCTTTAAAAGAGGATGTGGACAGAATGGGGCAGGGGGTGCAGAGGAGAGCGAGGAGGAGGGTGATGGGGGGGCCTGGAGACCAGGAAGCCCTAAGAGGAGAGGCTGGGGGCCTTCTTGGGAATGTTCAGTCTGGAGAAGAGGAGGCTGAGGGGGGGCAGGATGGCTCTCTTGAAGTATCTGAAGGACTGTGTCACTCAGAGGAGGGCAGGGAGCAGTTCCTGTGGGCAGCAAAGGAGAGGACTCGCAAGAATGGGTTTCACTCAGTGGCTGAAAAAGCCGCAGCTGGGCTCCAGACGGACGTCCCATCCAGCGGGATGGGACCAGAAGCAAGGGGGAGGGGGAGGAGGAGATTGGATTTATACCCCTTGCTCTTCACTCAGAGTCTGAGAGCGGCTCACAAACTCCTTTCCCTTCCCCTCCCCACAAAAGACACCCCCTGTGAGGTTGGTGGGGCTGAGAGAGCTCTGGCAGAAACTGCTCTTTTCCCAAGAACAGCTCCAAGAGAACTAGTGACTGACCCAAGGTCATCCGGCCAGGTGCAAGTGGAGGCGTGGGGAATCAGACCCGGTGCTCCCAGATTAGAGTCCGCGCACTTAACCACTAAACTGGCTCTCAAAGAGTGCTGGGGGCTATGAAGGGGGTGGCCCAGGCTCACCCCAGGAGAGGGTCCTTCACCCAGTGCCCACACAGTGGCCACGCTTTTTTCTTCTCATGTCTCCGTGGCGGGATGGCCTGTGCCGCTGACCAGCGAGGGCTTCCTGGGAGGATGAAACTCCCTCTGCCTGGCCTGAAACGGGGTCTGACCCCTGACCAGTGCTCCCTCTAAGCTGAGTTAGTGTGAGCTAGCTCACAGTTTTTTTGGCTCACACATTTTTGTCTCAGCTCAGGAAGGAGAGCTCCAGAGCCAACTCATTTATGCAGCAGCCAAATCGCTTGCTCACAACTTTAATGCCGGCAGCTCACGAAGTAGAATTTTTGCTCACAAGGCTCCACGGCTTAGAGGGAACATTGCCCCTGTCCCTTCT